CATTATAAAATATCTGTGCTCGTTTCTTTTATACCAGGGGTAGTCAACCTTGGCTCTTTTATGACTCGTGGACTTCAACTCCCAGAATTCCTGAGCCAGCACAGCTGGCTCAGGAATTCTGGGAGTTGAAGTCCACGAGTCATAAAAGAGCCAAGGTTGACTACCCCCGTTTTATACTAACCAGAGCTGAGAAGCCTGCAATGACCAGGTTCATTTTTAAGCAATCTTTCACTACACAAGTGAGCAGTCTTTGATAGAACTTCAAAATATGTCAATATGTCAAAAGACAATTCTCATAAAATGCCGGCCAGCCTGGTCACTGGGAGTTGACATCCGAGATACCCGAAGGGCTTCAGATTGAAGAGAAGCAGTTCAACTCTTTTCAAGCCACTTAAACTAGCAACTCTCATAACCCGGAGAGCCTGTCTGCCTTCTGTCCGGCCCAGGTGGGGGTCTCTCCTGTGTGCTCAGAAAGATCCCCTTTCCAGGAGGCCCTGTGAATTCTGCCTTGATGGGCAGGTAGCTCCCTGTGCTGGTCTCAGACTTCCTCTGGGGGGGGGACTCTTCTTTGCCAACGGATCTCTTTGCAAGGCAGGGAGAAGAGCTGGATTCCCAGAGCCTCCCGCTCAAGCGCCGGTTCCGCACCTGTGTCTGAACAACATCTCGGGCCTCCCCTGAAGGCCACCAGCCAGAGTCCACCAAGAGCCTGGAACCATCCTGTGACTTAATCCAGTTGGGGCCCTGCACACTGGCAAGCTCACCCAATGGTAGCTTATTCTAGGAACCACAGGAAACACATTTTTAATTTGTGAGTGAACTACAGGCTGGAATTTAGGTTGCTTTTTTTTTTCTTCATCCCACCCACATCGACTGTACCTATTTGGCTTGAGAAAGCCCAGATTGGGTTACATCCTAATGTGGTCAGGTTGGGCTTTGTTTCACAGCCTGTTTCGCATGTTGCAGGCGACATAAAATGTCACCCCATGCTACACTAAGACGATTCAAGCTTTTCATATTAGGTGTGGCTTGCAAACCATGCTATGGGACCCTAACCATTCAACAAACCAAGACTTGGGTGGCGAGTTAGGAAAGAATCCCAGTCAAGCTCAGAAGCTGATCATTTGCTTATGATGTTCCATGATACTTTGGGTGTTTTCCTTTGAGTCAGTCTAGACTGCTGCGGACTCTACAGACAAACCTTACATAGCATCAAGAGGGGTCTGTCACTGTCCTTTTCCTATGACTGTGCCTGGAGGGACTAGAATTCAGGTCTCATTTTTGCTCAAAGCCCTTAGCCTGGCTTTAAAACTGCTCCACGTGTTTGTTTCATTTCCTTGACCCGAATACATCCCGTAGAAGAAGCAGAGCAACTTACATCCGTTTCGTTGTAGGTGATGACCGTGCTGGTGGGAACTTCTGCCTCAATGCCCTCTTCTGGGAGCTTATCGAAATTGTCCAGGTCTTCATAGTTGAGATCTTCGTAAGGGAGTGGCGTGTAGTACTCGTCCGTAATGGGCCCGTAGTTGTATTCCTCCAACAGCAGTTCATCCTCTTCCTTGGGAATCTCCTCCTGGGTCTTCTCCACCACCGGTGGGGGGGTGGGCGGAGGGGTGGGGCTCTGCTTGAAAAAGGAGACAAGAGGCGGGTGGGCTGTCACAAACTCTGCCCAGGAGAGCCTAGAGGCGCAGACAGGCAGGGACTATCATCCCCACAGCATTCTGTGCTGCACAAACAGAATTCCCATTGACACAGAGACACACGTGGCTGGAGCTTTCCTGTTTTCATCAAAAGCCCCCACAGAGTGACCCAGTGGAGTAGAGCAATCCAGGAGAGAAACACCTTCAGACGTTAAGATTCCTTACTGTAATCTCAGAATAAGACTAGTACTAGCATTCGTGACTTGGTTTCCTCATCTGGTCTACCTTGAAGCAATGACATCAACCTTGCAAGTCTGGATGCGCTTCCCCCTTCCCTCCCAAGGGAGGACCTTGCCTGGATGGTTTTCGGATTACGGCTCAGCCCCAGACTCAGCTTTCTTTTATCTGACTAATGTCTTGGTCACAGCTCTTTCTCCTGTTTCTCAAAGGTATTCCTTCTGCTCACTACAGCAACATTTCAGATCTCTGGAAAAATATTAATCTGCTTTGGATCTTCCTCCTTAACTCAAGCCTTCCCTCCTAGGAGATGGAAGATTAGACTCAGAAGACAAGGCTTCCCACTTGACCGGACATCTATCTATGTTCGGAGGCCAAAGGGAACAGCAGAGGAGAAGAGCCGTGTTAATCCGCAGAAGCCAAAAACTAAGAAGTCTGCAGCACCTTTTCCAATTAACACATTTTATTAAAAGGCATAAGCTTTTGGGAGCTGCAGCTCACTTCGTCCAAAGCGATATCAAATACGGTTTCTTTTTTTCCAAGGCATCTACACTCTCCAGGCCAAGGGCTACCCATGGTATCTTGAGCTACTTGGAAGAAAGACTTTTAAATGGAATTATTTAACAGCCATCCTCCCTAGGTTTGTAGAATAAAATCCATGCCCATAAGGAAACTGGAAGTTAACAGAGATGACCCACTTGCCAACCCAATTGGGGCTCTTCCTGGACAGGAACAAAGCACCTCGCTTGGTCCCCAGAAGGAGGCCCTGGGTCAGCCTGTCGCCTTTCCATTGAGCCCTTTGAGGCAAGCAAATTCAGTAAACAGGAGCATGGTGGACTTGATGGCTAGCAGGGTAAGGGAATGGGGTCTTGAAAGCCTGGCGAACAATTTGCAGCTCAACCTACATCTAGCATAATTAAGCTAGAATTACTTTGAGTCTCTTTCTCAGGCTTCCTTCCTTCTGTGGACTCTTTTCCTGCTTCATCCTCCATGGTTCCTGGAATCTGTTAGAGGCTCCATCCCACCTTTCCTTCCACCCAACCCACACAGACCCACTGGTCCACCTCACCCTGGCAGACGGTCCCACCCTCCCACTGTCCTTTACCTCAGTGGTTTCAGTCACTTCCCTGGCTACTCCATCAGTTTCCACAGGTTGGGCAGTGGTCGGGGTGGCTTTCCCTGTGTCATCGAGGTCCTCATAGTAGGGGTATTCATAATAGTAAGTTTCTCCTTCAACTTCCATGTTCCCGGCCCCGTCTGGATACTGTGAAACAAGGAAAGTGGTTGAAATGACGACAGGCACCCTTACAGGACATCATTATATTGTGGGATTCGCCCACAGGACCCGGAGAAGGAAGGCCACTGGCTTGGCTGCGGTGGAGGGGAACCGGCTACCCCCACAGGGGACGGGTCTATCAAGTGTTCCTGGTCTTAGCCCAGTTGTGGCGAACCTTTTAGAGACCGAGTGCCCAAACTGCAACCCAAAACCCACTTATGCATCGTTGGGTGCCGGGTGGGCGTGGTCCATTGGCTGGCTGTGGCCCATTGGGTGGGCGTGGCTGCGGTGGTAATGGCAGACTGGGTGGGATTAAAAAGTTCAATCAATCAATTCCAACTTTGCAAGATCTTTTTTTTTCCCGTGAGAAGTTGAAATTGACTGATTGAACCTTTTTTTTTTTTTTGCACACGGCGGCGGAGGCCTAAAGCGAAAAGGTTTTATAAAACCCAGCTGAAGGCCTAGGACTGGGGCGACAGCGCGCGTGCCCACAGAGAGGGCTCTGAGTGCCGCCTCTGGCACCCATGCCATAGGTTCGCCACCACTGTCTTAGCCCAACTCCAACAAAAATGAAACTTCCATTGTAATAGTTATTCATGGAACCCCTGTCAATCCAAAGTCATCGCTCACAGAGGATGCCCAGCACTTCTCTGTCAGTTTTGCTCTTCTGGGTTTTTCTCCTCCCAAACCATCTCCAAGGCCCATCTCAGCACCTCAGTCTTGGGTTTTGAATGCAGACGAAAACGATAATCGAAAGGGGACCCAACTATTTCTCTTTTCTTCTGCTGCATGTGCGAATGTGGGCAAAGAGGCTCACCCAGCTGGTAGACTTCAGAGCTGGAGGCTCTGGGTGGCTTCTCTGAAGTCCAAGGGAAAGTTACACAATGTTCAGGGCAGGGCCTTACTCATAAAGACAGCAGCAGTGATGATGACCATCACGACTGTTGCCTGTTACAATGCAAGAAACGTCCACGGTAGAGTTGGGGGTGGGATGGGGTCACTCAGAATTACCACTTAGAGCAAAACCACCAAAGCAACTTGCTGAGTGGCGTGGTGAGTAAGATGAGCCCCCGTCTTGCTTTACAAGAGAGCCATTCCCATCCTTGCTTAAAGATGAAATGACCACTGCACGTTACAGCCAGGATCACTGTGTAGGTTTTCAAAGGGAGGGGTGCAACCGAACTTCTCCATGGAAGTTCCAAGTGATGGTGGATCAGCTGGCATGAGGCTGCTTTCATTCTACACCTGGACATTAACCAGCCCCTGCCTTGTATATATCAAGACCGATCGAAGGCCACATTAGGCAGGTGCTTTTCCACGGGGCAAAGGCATTTTATCTGCTCACGTATCTGTGAATGCCTCACCACTCCGAGTCTTCAGTTCTTTTGTAGAAGGGCGTAAGTGTCTTTGGGAAGCTCGGCTTGGACAATATCTTGCATGGTGTTTTTTTTCATTTATTGGTGAACTCTATTCCTGGTTCATAATGTTATTATCATTGGTATACTTAAAAAAAATTTTTTTTTAAACTCCTTTAAGGGACACAATCCATGCATATTTAAACAGGGTTGTGTTAAACACACAACAGAGACTGACCCTTTTCTGTCTCCCTTCCTAACCCTCTGTCTCTGCATGTGTGTTTCTCCACCAGAGGCATATTAGGGTCCTCTCTGCAGACCTCCGCTGTGTGCCTTTTGGCTCCACCCCCCCTTTCTAGGAAAACTCTGCCCTACCCAACCCAGCCCTTGCCTATGGGAGGCAGGGAGAGACCCCCGGCTGCCACTCAGGCCCCCAGCCCCTTCCCCACTCACGTATTCATCAGGGTTTGGGTCCTGCGAATGAGGCACGTCCGGCACCGCCGTGTCGCAGTCTGGGCTGTAGTGTTCACAGTAGTCGTAGGCGGCTTGATGATCTGAGACAATGAGCAGCTGCTGGATGTCGCCCTGAAGGAAAGAAGCAGACCACAATGACGGAAGCCCCACCTGATGGGCATCCCTCTTCCCTGGAACACTCAGAGGCCCCCTCCCTTAAAAGAGGAACCCCTCCCACCACTTTTCTGAATGTGTTGAATGGGAAGAGATCGGAATTCCCACACATCTGGAATTTCAGGAAATGTCGAGGAAGCATTCATAAAATGCCCACCATACTGTACAACCTCTGTTGTCCGTTACAGTTCTTTGTGTCTATGAAAACTGGAGCTTCTCTCCACCTCACACACACATGTGCACCCCTACACTTCTTTTCAATTATCACATTTGGTGTGGTCTCAGTAACCACACTGAGGCTGCTGCTCCAATCCAGCCCTCCCAGGGCACTCATGGTGCGACTCTTAAATTTTCTGCCATCACACCTGTGATCTTAATGTACACATCCCTCCTAAACAGCAACAGCACTTAGACTTATATACCACTAAGCAATGTACAGAGTCAGCATCTTGCCCCCAACAATCTGGGTCCTCATTTTACCAACCTTGAAAGGATGGAAGGCTGAGTTTAACTTGAGCTGGTGAGGATCGAACTGCCGAACTGCTGGCAGCCGGCAGTCAGCAGAAGGGGCCTGCAGTGCTGCACTCTAACCACTGCGCCACCAGGGTTCTGGTGGTCACAAATGAACAACACAACGAAACCTTGGGAAAGGTGGGTTTACTGTAGCAATATAAGTAAAAGTTTCCTCTCCTCCCCACAGGACGTACACCTGGATTGAGGGTCAGGTCATAGTGTGAATGCAGGAAAGGGGGTCCTGCATCCAGCAGGCACAGTGGGGTTTGTGGATCCCAGATCAGCACATCGTAGCCAGATCAGATCGTGCCAGAAAACCCCAGTGATGGCCAGGCAACCGAAGGGCAAGAAGGCAGGGAGGAAAAGGATAAACGTTCAGAGTGTGGAAGGTGAAGAGTTAAGCATCTCCTAGAAAAAAGCCTGAAATTTCCCAACATAAAGACGTGCATAACACTTCATAAAGGGCCAAGAACTTTTGTAAATTCTTATTTTTAAAAAAAATTCTGAAGTTTTTTTATTTTTTTCAAAATTTTAAATTACTTTTTTCAATTTTCCATTTTTTTCAATTTTTTAATCTTTTTTCAACTTTTAAATTTCTTTTTAATTTTAAATTCCATTTTCAATTTTTAAATCTTTTTCAACTTCAAAACTCTTTTCAGCTTTTTTATAAAATTCTTTTTAATTTTTCAGTTTCTTTTTTCAACTAAACATTTGAAAAAACAGTTTACATATTTTAAATTTTTATACATTTTTGAATTCTTAATGATCTAAGAGGAAAACAATAAATTACAGAAAGAGACAGACACTTAAAACAGAAAAGATAGGGGGCTTCTGGTTTGTGATTGCGGCGCCGGCAGATGTGCCGGACGAGCGCTCCCTCCGCCGTCCGGTTTTCTCCCGTCGGGGGACCCTGAAAAGGGTCAAAAGTCGCCCTGGAGGGTCAACGAGCGTGAAGAGGACCTCCGACTGATTGTGGAGGGGTGGCAGCCCTTCCGGTTGATCCGGAGCAGCTCTTCTAACTGACAGGGAAAAGATCAGCCATTAACATGGCCCATCATTAATGCCGTTTCCAGCCGAGGCCAAATTTACAACTAAGCACTTGAAAGCACCGCGGAGGAACTGGGTAAGATCTTACCTTCTTTCAACCCCAAGTATTTTTTTCTGTAAAAAGCTTTTTGAAACTGCTTCCCCCTGTGAGGAGAGAGGGAATGTTTTTCTCCCACCCTCTAAAATGGCGGCGTTTGATTACATAGGGGAAATGAAGCCCTGAAAAATATAATTAATTGGACTTACATGTTTCTTATATTTGGCGACCCAAAAAATTCCTACTTTCACGGGGACCAGCTATCTTATTTACTTGGGGAAAAAAGAGAGAAAGCAAACCTAAATTGGATAAAAGTTTAGCCCCTCTGAAAAGGATTTCAAATGCTATTGGGGACATCTTGTGGTGAAACCTGGTATAGCAAGTGAATATCCCTGCTAAAAGAGATCTGTTTACAACCTAGATCTGTCCTTGGCACTATCCAACGATAAAAAGCTGAAACAGCTGGAAGGTGAAATTGGCTTTTAAGAACTGTGGAGGTGAACATTTATTGACTCTTGCTTAAAAATTAGCCTCCACTAAAGGACTATCTATAACTATTTTAGAAATGGAGGGGGACCATCAACAAACTTCGCTTGACTATAAACTTATACTTGAAAAAAATCTTGATGCTACTGAGACAATTAAATCCAGACTGAAAGATGAAGGTGCTAGCTTGAACCTACAAACTGAAACCCAGATTCCAACTAAAGAACTTACAACTCAGAAAACAACAGAAATGGAAGAAATCAACACTAAGACAGAGGACTTTAA